ACGCTACATATTTTAATGCACTGCGAACATTAAAATAGCATTTACGTAACATGTAGCATATAGCATTGTAGCATGTACAATATTAACATAATCGTTTACCGTAAATCAATAAAATCAATCAATTGAAGTAATCGTTATAATATTTAAGTAATAAAAAAAAAAAGATAATATGGATTTAACAGATCCTAGTTCGGGTAAGTTAGAAATACACATTAATAATAAAGTGAAACAGTTATTGTTATATTTTAACTAATGATGTGAATTAGTTTTGATTTCAGTTTAATTAAATATATTGTTAACAAAAAAAAATATAATATATTATATATCCAAATATTATATTATAATATTTGGATTAATCTTAAGACTGAAAAGACAGTTTTATTGTTGAAATAAGAATTGCCATAATTAAAAACACTATAAAGATTTATAATATTGATAAATAGGGATGAGTGTCAGTTTTTCATGTACTTACTCTAAATACATTTTTATTAAACTCGGAAATCATTGTTACAATGTACAGCATATTGCTGTAGCCGCTGCATTAGTGCATCTAATGGTTTAAAATATAATTGCTCATTTTTTTTCTTTAATAAACATTGAGACCTACTAATTGAAAAGATTGCGATATTACATAGCTGCAGATGAAAGGCATACGTTTCTCTCTCACACACACGCATGTACGCATGCACACACTATAATTATGTTTGAAGATTTCAATTCAGTAAAAATATAATTTTGGCATGCGTTTTAAAAGATTTATATTAGAGTTAGGTATACTTGAAATGGTAGGGTCTAAATGTTAGTGATACGAAACTTAAGAAACAACCGACGCACAGTGGGAGGAATCAAACTTTTAGCCGAACAAAAATAGAAAATAATGATATTTAGTCTATTTAATTTATATTTTTTTAGAATGCAATAAAAATACATTTTTAAATTAATATAAAACTAAAATTTTCAACAAAAAAAGTATTGTATAATATATTAACTATAATAAGTTATAATTAATGAATATTAAAATTAAGATAAATGGCTACTAATTTCAATTTTTTTTTCATTAGACTCATTATTTTTAGAGTTTTCAATATCCAATAAATATTTTGCATCTGGAAGTAATTCAGTTGATGATACTTTATTCTGAGATCTTAATCCAATTATAATTGGATCAGATGTTATGAAAAGAAAGTTAAACAAATCTATGTTTGTGATAGCGCGTGACGATTTTCTCAAATGGTGTTCTCGAAATATAGTCTTTGTTCCGCGAATCTTGTGCTTCCTCGGATAACTGTCCAGTAGGAACTAAAGTATATTTGATTGCTAAATAACCATGTATTAAAATTGTATGTACACTTGGTGGCATACGGTACTAATTATATAAATCAACATAAAGTTTAGCGGTTTCTTTTGTATACTCGTCAAATCATTCATTATTTATTTTGTGACCACTAGAAATGACTGTTAATATTATTGAACATTTATGAATCAAACGACCATCAACTCTTGTAATTTTGGAAACTTTTTCTGGATTTTTAAAAAATGTTCGAGCAACATTTCCCGTATTAAATGTACCCATACCCTGAACCACTCTGTCAACTTTCAAGCCCAATTCTTTCCATAGACGAGATTGTATTTCTTTCTTTTTTTTCTGAAATTAAAAATTACTGTTTAACAGTTGTTCTTTTTGTAGTTGGAGCCGATTTTAATGTATATGCAATATACAAAATGCATTCTAAAAATTTGATCCAAGCATGTAAATGTGGATAAACCGTACTTAAATTTAGCTTCATTTATTTGAAATGTATGCATTTGGTCTAAATTGTTTATATTTTTAGGGTTACTTTTACAAGTATAACAAACTTGGCTCGAAGATCCTGTGTTAACTTGGTTAACTTTTTTTTCAATGTCAATTTTATCTACAACAATCAAAAAAATGATTTTAATTTAAATGTAACTCAGAAAGGGGCAAGAGCAAATTTTCTATACAGTATTATAAAGAAAACATAATTATAAATCAAAGAAATATTAAGGACAACCTCTAAGAGCCCCCCAAGATATTGTTCTACACAATTGTATAGAAATAAGTAAAGTTTCTTTAATTTTATTATATATATATATATATATATATTTTAATTTATAGTAAAAATATAAATTAACAAACTTACTTGTTACTAATATATATGTACTAACTATATGTTGATACATTTTTAATTTATAAAAAGTAAAATTTTTCTTATTCACATAAAATAACGAATAACTAAAATTAATAGTTTACGTTCATATCATGTGATGGCATTCAATTCACTAATCTTAATTAACCATACCTACATTTATCGACTCAATAATTGATGATTATCGCATATTGCAATAAATATGTCTTCAAAAAATAAGTGGCAATAAATATCTATGTTTATAGTCACTGATTACGATACCAAAATTTTCTATTTTTTGTTCAGCTAAAAGTTTAATTCCTACTATCTGACGTCAGTCCCATGAAAAACGAAAAAATAAAAGCAATTTTCTTTGGTGCAGTTGCGTGTAATACCACTCTTCTCGAGATGCAATCACTAGAGAAATGTGCCTAATATATAGTGTCTGTGCAACCTTTGAACGCAGTAAAAAACATTGATGGAGGTAGTAGCGTGTGCAGAAAAAGGGCTAACGGACTAAAGTGCCTTTCATATTTATTATTATTTGTTTTTTTATTTACCCGCGATTTAAAATGGTATCTTAAAATTACGCTTATATCTATGTAGATAACCGTGTTCAAAATGGCAATCATTTATTTGCATAATTATTACAATTTACAACCAAAGTTCATAGATTTCTGCGATTATTACTGAACTGGTATTACCAATTACACCAGAGAGAACATTTTCAACAATGAAACGTTTAAAATCCTACTTCAAATCAACCATGACAGAGGAACGTCTTTATGGGTTAGTTATGAACAAAAAAAAAAGAACTTACTGAATTTGAAGTTCTACAACAATTTTCAAAAACCTTGCTTAAGCGATTAAAATTATAAGACTGGATGGATAAAATAAAAAATGAATTTTATCGCAATTTTTGTTTCATATTTAATTTATCTATTAGTTTTTTTTTTTATATTTTATGTTTAATATAAGTAAAAACTAAGAAAGTACTTTCTTTATTTTTTAAACCTTTTCTTATGACAGTCAAGTAATTATTTATTTTCAATCCTCTTCCCCCTTTATATTGAAAATTCTTGCGTACGGACGAAGGTTTGGACGCGGCAAATCGAGCGATTACAGTTTTCTGCACGTAGCTAATCGATGGCGTAACATCACCGTCAAACCGGGATCGCGCAACTCAGTCTCACCATACCCGGAAACATTATGAATAATAATGCGATGATATTACGTATTGCCCAAACTCGAGCGAGTGCGTCACGGGCAGCCGCGCGATATCATGCGTCGGGATTTCCCACTGGGTGTAGGCCCTTGGGTCCGTGCGTAATAAACGGTTGCACACAATTGAGTAGCGGTCGTATCTTGCAGTGGCAGATCTAGGCTTTTGTTTGCTTATTGTTGCTCATATCAAATTGGCCGATAAAATATTCTAGAAGGTTTATAAACTCTTTCCCAAAACAATTTTATTAAATTGTGTTATTTATTAAAATGTGCACGTTGCAATAATTGCAAAACCAACAGAGGTTCTGGGATAATAATCCAAGCCCTTCTGATGCCCTTAAATCCGCTACTGATGCGTTACCCGTCAACGTGGATGCAATTAATACATTTTATAAAAAAAAAACGAAATCTATAAGGAATACTTTGATAAAACGTTCAACTACGAGTACGGGTGCAGCCTATTATAAATCTATTATTCTGGCAGAAAAATTAAACGTCTAGAATCATGATCATGCAATCAACTATTTCATTATAGAGTTCATCACTTAGATCACTAATAGATACAGAAATAATATTAAATACATTTGCTTATACTAATAAAAGAATAAAGCCATAAGAATGCACAACAATAATATTTGTAAGTTGTAAAAGTAAATACAATTTGTTTTGTGATAATATTATGCTTTAATTATCTGTTATTTAAGTTCCTCAGTTAAACATCTTAAGTTTCGTTGATTCAGGTAATCAATTAATTCAGATATATGAGATCATATTTGTGTTCTTACGAAAATCGAGCGCACCAAGGAAAATTGTTAAGGAGTTCAATCCTTCGATATCTAAAAAGTTATCACGTCCATGGTACAAGGCGGGGCGGATCCGTAGTCGGAAGATAGTCAGACTATTTCAAGAGGTTGTTAAGACTAAAAATTGACTGTAAAAGTACACATCGTAACAAAAAAAACACGATTGTACCTGTACAATACGTTTTCTTTAAGTTTATTAGTAAATATCGTTCAAAACCTGCGAACCTTCCGAACCCCTTCCCTCCTAGATCTAGATCCACCTCTGGTTGGAGGACGCACGTGATCGTAACAACAGTGCATCATTCGAAAACGTTCTCGTGATCGCGGGATTTACCGCGCGGGTTGCGCAACCACCACGCGATACCGGAGACGGCGCGTGGCCCGTCCGTGGAACCCGGACAGAGCGGTCGTCTCCGCGTGTCCTTCAACGTAGCTCCGCTACCCCGCGGCCAACCGTCCTGCGTCGTATAGGCATTTCGTGCGCGCGTGTTACGTGATGTGCATGTACGCGTACATCCGCCCGACGCAAGCCACCGCCCACGAAACACCGCAGCGCCGGAGGGTGCGCGCGCGCGCGCAGAGGTTCTCCCTTTCAAGGTGACGGTAGAAAGTTTCATGACAGCAGCTGCAGGTTGATACCGGTACCGGTGGTGGCGGTGACGGTGGCGGTAGTCGCGGTGTTGGGAACCGCATCGGCGGAGGTGGGGACAACGGTCCGGAGGACGAACGTTGACCGGAAGGGCGGCGGCGCAGGTGGGGCGGGACGACGGAAGCGGGACTAAAGAGAAAGTCGGTCGTCGCCGGGTAGACTTCTATCGCCGACCGATTGACACTGGGTCAGTATTATACTTGTGTCTTCCGTGCGATCGTCGGACAGTGCATTTTCACACACGTTCGCGGTACAGCGCGTGAAGTTCTCGCGATCTTTTCACGTAAAAGTAATAATTATAAACGTAAGCGTTTCGCGCGCGCACATAACACAACCAACGTCGTAGCACGTCTATATCGTACGCGACTCCCGCGGTGTTTTTCCGTAGTGAACGGACGTGGATTATACACACATGGTCGTCAAACTGGGTGAGTACATCTCTGATCGAAGTCGATATCGCGAATCTTTACGCTCGCTTCGGGCGAGCGCCCCCTTGTGATATTTCGGTAATACGTCTCGTTCGTGGACTGCTTTTGCGAACGCAATATTCTTAACGTGGTCAACACATTCGTTTTGTCGACATCTTCGATTTTCGTATGCCACCGTTGCATAACGATATGACGTTATTTATTGTTTTTGTCCCGCGCGTACTATACGCTACGAGTACTTGGATACACAATACATACGATACTAATATTATATTGTCAGCCGCCTTGGGCCTCTTACGTGCATTATATTATTATTATTATTGTTATTATATTGCACTTTTTTTTTCGTCGTCGAAAGTAAAAACCGTGTTTACGGCAAATGACAGCGGGCAGATGCGCACAATGGGAATTAACGGAACAAAAGGTTTTCATGGGCGCTCGACGAACGTGTGTGAGGAAATTTATGCACCCCTTCGTTACAGTCGCAGCGGCGGAACCACGGTCGTCCGGTTGACGTGTGTTTTTATTATTATACTTTCTATCTTTGCGTCGAAAAAACGAACATTCCTCAGAGAAAGGATTGTCTTCGCCCAAGGTCGGACGCTCGAAATGTGTATATTCAAATCCATCGTTGTTACACTACATCTGAAACCGGAGCGACCGTTTGCGGTACAAGCATATGCCTACGCATGCCGCTTCTCGATTTCTTCGTCCGTTTCAAATACGAAGTCACGCGCATCACGACGTGCCGGTACCACCCATTGAATAATCGTTTTCGATTACCGTGCTAAGGTAGCTATGGTCGCGAAGAAATTTACTTTCCTAGTCACTGAACCGCGTGCAGTGGCGTGAAAACAAAAATTAAAATCTATACGACCTTGGTGATTTTTTTCGTCGCATCTCTCATGACTATTGGAGTAAAGAAATGTATTGCAGTCGAGTACGCGTGTAACGTCTAGGTCGTGAGTGTTGTCGACGGCCACGGTCACGGCTAATCATCTTCGGTGAATTGTGCACAATTAACACCCAATCGGTATCGGTTCAATAAATCGTCATCATTTCTAAACGGTTTCGAAACACAAGAAAATTTTCATCGATCTCTAAACGCCTTAACGTCGATTTGTCGCGTTCCAATTAATATAATATTGTAACTGTCGACACACGCGGTTAGAATGTAAATAGTTTACAAGTATTCATTACCTAATCGTCGTGCTTGTGTACAATTAAATTACCAACGCTATTTAATCACGTATACATAAGTTGTATTTTTTAATCCTTTATTAGTCTAATTTTAGACAGAATTGTTCACTTTTTACGCACTATTTATAGTATGATACGTTAAAGTGCAAAATGTGTAAAAAGCGAACTATAAAAAAATAATAATAACAAGTTTGGTGGAATAAGTGTATTATTTGAAATATATATATTTCTTTATATAAACTAGATAATAGATGGCTATTTTAATAAATAAATCGGCGTTTACTAGTAGGGTCTCGAAGAACCTTATTTCAGTCTAGATAGGTCTTAGTATTTTTCAGGTAGTTCACTAGTTGAGGTCCAGTATTTTCCAGGTAGTACACTGGTTTGGTCTTACGATTTAACAAATACTACTCTAGTTGGATCCATACAAAAAAAAAAAATGTTGCTTCTCGTTTTTACAGACTTGGGACTGTCAGTTACCTAAAAATTAGAACACAAATATGATTTATTTATTTTTTTAAATTTTCTAATAAATATATAGTATATAATTACTAATTGAAAATTAGAATACTGGTATATGGTAAATGAATTAATTAAATGATTAAAAAATTAAAAAATGTACACAATTAGTAAAAATTTAAATGATAGAACTTTTACAAAACTTAAATCTATTAATTTTTTAACATTATAAAGTGTATCAATACTTGTAAGTAACAGGTCTTATTGTTGTAGTGGTCGGACCGAATTAGTATGTTATGGGTTTTACAGTCGGACCCAATTAGTTGTTTATCTTTATTATAAATATTATCTGGGACGCAACTCAGATAGGCCCAAATAAATAATGGTTTACCTCAATTTTCAATTCACTTCTCTACCATCTCTAACATCTCGTATTTTACAATTTTTTTCAAATTTCTGTCTATGTTATATTATGTATGAATACATTAAGTGGCACCCAAGCCTATTGCTAGGTGTAGCAGCCTAAAAATATGGGATGGACGGATACTGAGACATATAAGTTAAAATAATAAATTTGAGACATATTTTTTATTATTTAATAAATATTAATAATGATAAAATTTTATTATTCATGTTTCATATTATTTCTGTGCTATTATTTGTATATAATATTAACAAACAAAAAGAACTCTTTAAATTTTGAGTTTCTCGGTAGGGGGAAGGGCATTTAATAGTATCTCGATACACCTGAAAAATTTGCCTGGGGCTCCACTGAATACATTACTATAAATTCAAAGACTAGAAACAATTTCTCGTAGCATAAATGTATCACTTCGACACCCGTGGTTCATTTTATATTACTACTGGTACATGAGCATAAAGCGGATACCGTATTATACATGAAGTTCATCGAAACATTTTAAATTTTCAACCCTTTTTGTCGAGTTTTGTGGGTCCTTTTCAAGGTTATACACTGAACTACCAACACATCTTCGTGATGATAAGTGGGCGGGTGCGACTTTCGTCAAACGAGTGGGTCACGGTCGGGCCCGGCAGCGAATAGACACGAGATTAGAGGCCCGCCGTGCAAACCAGTTTCCACACACGACCAGTTTCCCCTTGTATGATAGCTTCTAAGAATTAGGTTAATACAAGTCCATTGCCGTTCGCCAGAAGTCATAATAAGTCGGTAAATAAACGCGGTACGGAAAAGAGTCGCAAAGGTGTGAAATTTGGCACACATTTACACATCAAAATCTGGCTAATTGGCCGGCAGACGGTGAGCGTGTTATAGAAAACGATAGCCAACCATCCGACTGATAACAGCTTAACGATTTCAACCAAGTATTTCTATCCACCTACCAAATTATTATTCCTGTAGTTCAGAGTTCCGATGTTATGAATGATGGCGTTTTCTATATTATGGCTATCGATTTTTTAATTGAGAAATAGGTCCAACAATTTTACCGACTTCTAATTTAAATCTTACTGACCGATACGACGATATTTTTTGTATCATATCCGTATACGCTACGGATAAACAAATACACTTTGTAGCTAATATTTTATATTTCATTATTATTATTAATGCACAATCTTAACCAGCAGGCACAATAAGAGTATGTGCTCAATAGATTTTTAATTTAATCGAATTATAAGAACGATGCACAATATTGAATATTTTATGTATCATCACAAAAATAAATAATACATTATTTTTGTTTTATTTGTGATTCTTTACACATCACATTTTGATTTTCTCTCGTTAAAAGTAATAGGTCAAAGTTTGGTTGTTCGACAATAAAAATATTGAAATGTTTTTGGATGTATTTCAATCATACGTTCAATGAATACTAGATGCAATGCTCTTTTATCAGACTTTCGAAACTTGGACACGTTCCACGGAGACTTAAACGATCACTGTTATAAAATATTTTCCAGATAATACAATCGATTATAATTCTAATAAGGATACCTACTTTCTTAACAATTATAGATTTATAAATTTATTAGGTTTTGAGATAACATGACTTTCGCTCTTAATTCCATTCAAGGTCGTCAAAGAAAATAGTTTTTCAATCTGATTCCCGCTACTTAAATTATTACGGTACTGTTTGGTATCGAATTCGCTCATCCTGTTGTACGAATTGATCTCCAAACAATGTGGTATTTTTATCGAAATAATAAGAAAGATTGACGAACCATTACAGAAGTTTTTCGAGCTCTCTCACACACGAATCCGCACGCACACTCACGCAAGCACACCTAAACATGTACAGACATACGTAGCTATTCATTCAAACAACGTCGGCACTTTCTCTGCATCCATTGCTGACACACATACCGTGTGTGTTATATGCTTCTGTGATAAAAATATAACTAGTAAATAGCGCGGCTAATACTTTCTATACGAATGCATTTCTGTTAGAGTACAATAATAGCCTTAAAGTAAAAATTTAAATAATGATAAAAAAAAAAATGTGAAAAAAATTAACTTTTAAGTCATAAGCTTGAGTACGACGACTTGGACGTTATTACGGTCGTGTGTTGCTTTAGGCGAACGTGGTGTATCCGAATCCGGATTCTCGGTTGAGTAAATGTAGTTTTTTTACCTGTGCTGAATTTCACTTCTGCACCATATTACTTGTGTGGGTCGATACAATGATATCCAATACGACTCAATATGATGTATTGAACAATTATTTTGTGTGCATCATATTGCAATTCTGGTGCAAATTATTCGTGAAAATTTTAAGAAATGTTGTACTCCACCATAATGGTATAGAAGCCAAAGGTTTCAAAGTATACAAATGGTTTTTATGATTTCAAACATCGTGTTTTGTGGTCATTTACATTTTACACACTATTCCTTTGCTATAACATAAATATTTTACTTGTGCTTCCAATAAAAAGAACATAATTTTCAACAATTGGAAAATTACAGATGACCAATCATAATTGTTGGCTAGAGTGAGTCAATATTGACTAAAATTTTAAAAAGACTATTATTTTTTTAAAAAAAAATCAAACACAATCTAACATATACACTGTCAAGGGTCTTGTTCGGAAAAAATACTTTTATTATTGTTTTTTTTTTATAGTGAGCATTTTTTTTTTTTTTTTGCTTAGTTGATAAATTAATATATATATTATAAATTCACACTTGACAGTATTCCTAATAATTAATACATCTTCTGGTTTTATATTGTAAAATATCGTTTTATATTCTAGCAATAAAATGTATTCATCGTTTCAGAGGAGTGGATGGGTCGAAGCCTTTGTCACTCCTTGGCTATTACGTACAGGACATATTTGATAAGGAGCCATTTATACATTCTCTCATTTATGGAGAAAGTAATTGTTGTTTACATATACCCCTTAGTTACAATGACGTTTTTTATTGACTAGTAGTAGTGAATAATATAAATGTACATCGAAGACGAATTTGCCACTGGTCACATATTTCACGTGAAATCACACAAACACGTACATACATTCGCACAGCAGTCGATCTCGTTGTCGTTAAAAACTGAAATTTAGAAGTGGATTTTATTTCTCTTCCTAACAAATGATCGAAAATTTAATCACGAAAAAATACACTCGGGTTAGGATGTTTTCTATTTTTTTCTCGGGACGTAATTTTAAAAAAATATATTAAACTCCACTTTGTTATTTTGTTTCATCGAGCGGTAGACTTCTAGGGTCTTGTTTGTCTGAAACCTGACCTCATCGTCGGTATAACATCCGTCAGGTTTCGGCCCGTTTCGACAGTATGCAATCGACCATCGAGTTAACCACAGATTATAATTATTCGAAACCTGAATAAATATAAAATCACTGAAATCGTTCGAAATAACCACACAATTAAATACTTAATTTTTCAAACAGCGTATAAGGAAATAATAACAATACAAAAAATACAAAAATATTAGCGAATAATCCGGTTTAAGATAAAAAAAATAAATACATAAAAGTAATTGAACAAATTGCACGTCGGAAAGCGAACGTTCGTTCGTATAGTGTAATAATTTTACTCTTAGTCGCAGAGAATACGACCGCGACGTCTAGTCTCGAACGGATTCTATTGCGCGACTCACGTCCTTCCATTGTCTGCCGGCGTACTCATTGTGCATGCATGTCGTCGTCGCAATTATTATCGCCAAATTAATTTCCAAATAAAAAAAACGATAGAGAAAGTGTGTGTGTTTATTCTTCCATTCAACATTTCGTATATATTACGAAACCGGCCGTCAGCAATGCACACTCCTGCGGTTCGCGAACAGGATCAACGTTCCGGACTTGTCGAGATCCGCAGCGGGTTATAATAACTTATTGTACGTCATCATTGTAGCTATCATCCTGGACGCGTTGTCGCACGATAAGTGATATGCGGCTGGTGAAATGTATTATGGAGATCGACGTCGGAGTGGTGTAACAGACGAACTTGTAAATTGTTCAAACACGTTGCATTTGCTTATATTGCGCTCTTCTAGTATTGTCAACGGGAAACGTTATTATTATATTTGTATACGCGGTATTAATGTATTAATGTTACGGTCGCGAGATTCCTCCGAGTTTCGCCGACAGGTCTTCTCGCGAACACGCGGTCCCGCGCCGCCCATGCGCATTTTATTGTTTTTATTCGACGCGTGCGGAGGCTACCCTTGCACATCTCAAATCTGAATCGACTCGTCACCCCCTCGTGCCGTAAAACGATTTTCGGCACATCACCCTTTTTTCGCGAAGCACATACATATCCTCGTGCGCCGAGTGTATGGCGTGCGTGTAAATGAAAATTAATGAGCCAAATGTAATTTCCTGTCTGTACGCACGGTTAGAAGAATTAGAAAGTAAACACGGACTCTCATCTCTACGTGTACACACTCACACACACCATGTAATCCGTGTATGCGTTCGAGTATGTGTGTGTGCGCGTATTAATATTATCCGTTTCCGTTTTACCGAAACAATGTTCACTCTGTATGTGCTGTCGAGTCCGTGAAAGCGTCGTTCGGGACGAAGCCTCTGGGAAAGGAATACTTCTCGTGTATAATATTATAGCATTCGCATACGCGCGATCGCTGACCGTGGTTGTAGACGTGTCGGATGGTCATCAGGTAATCGATGCGCCTGCGCATTATTTTGAGGCGATCGCCTCGACGGTATGACAAAGGAATATAATATTTCAATCATTCGATGTTATTCTTTTTTTTTTACCATTCAATTGTTTTCAATATTGTTCTTTATTCAAAAGTTTTTCTAATGAAATAATAAAATCTCACACTAAAAATCCAACTTGTGGTGAACATATATTCATGATAAAATAGTTTAAACGATTGGAGTGATTAAATAGTTTGGCATTTATAAAAAATCGGTAATAATAGTAGTAAATTATTATTAATCCATTTATACGAGTGTAAATGGTAAGAATTAAAAATGTACGTATTACTGGCATTTATAGATTCCATAACGAATAAATGTTTTTGAACTCTTCGATGTACACATTCTGTCATTAACAGTGGCCTATTTATGGGGGGTTTTGGGGGTTTCTACCCCCCTCCCCTAAAAAAAAAAAAAAATTGAAAACGTCAAATTTTAAACATATCAGTAATATAATAATATAATAATTTTAGTTTGTTTATTCAATAAAGTATTAAAGTATAATGAAATAAAATATATATGTGTATAAAAAAAATAATAATATCGCAAATAATTAAATTGTAATTAGATAACAATAATAACAATCGATCGCACGGCACTTACACACACATGGTATATAAATAATCTAATATGGGGAAATTATCGGTCAATAAAAACACAATATCTTAATCCATGACTGTCACGTCTTGTCAGTTGTCAGTATGCAATATGCGTCTATGCGCAACATAAAGTAATATAAAATATGATTAATACGATCATACGTTTAATTAAGTAATTATTATTATAATTCATTATTAAAACAAAGTTAATCAAGTTGATTAATAAGAAAATAAGAATTAATATTGTTAATTATTAATCAATAAAAAAATTTTATACTAATTTATAAAATAATTTCACTATTAGGTATGCCCCCCCCCCCAAAAAAATAAGTTTCTAAATACGCCACTGGTCATTACACCACAGATTTATGCTTATGGAGATCCTCTCTCATAAATTGTGAGATTATTGTACACTCGGCCCACAAAAAAGGTACATTCGGTTAAATCCGCACAGGTTGATAATGGCGGATTAACTGGTTAGACAATTTTCGTAATTTTACAAATCATCATAGCGATTTTTGACTACGTATTTTAATGTCGAACGCACAATATTCATGCATTATGAATACATTTTATAAAATAATTTAATATATTACAAAAAAATAAAATAACAAATATATAATATATGTACGGGATATTATCATTGTTGTCAAAACCATTTAAATTGTTGAGAACCAAAGAGTATTTATAAAATATTTGAGTTCTATACGACTATATGGTTATTAAAACTGTTCAAGAACAATAATCTCAAATAATATAACGCTCTAACCTGGACGTTCGGCCGTGCAGAAACATCTATAATGCTTCATATGTACAAGTACATTGAGTTGATTTTTGGTATTATTGTGAACTGCCTTAAAACATCGTTTCGAGTCTGTTGTTCTTACAGTTTCTAACCGGTACTCGTACACCAACAGGCCGAATGAAATATGAATTACACGTGATTAATTTTGATCATTGTTTCCACATAATTGGTTAGAATGATTTATTTTTCATTTATATAGCAGCAATAGTGATAATACCAAACAAAAGTGACAGTTTTAGATAGCGATTCATTATAGATCTCGTATAATTTCATTGTATTCGGGAACACGTATTTCCGTAAACGTAGTGTTTGCGACAATGTTTTTGAGTATTTACCGTCATCTCGTACAGTGCAGAGGGCTTATTAAACGATTTCGACCTTGGGGGTGCGGTGAAATAAATATTTACATCCTACTGACCCATATTCACAGGCGAGAACGCGGTTCATCGATCTTGATCTTGAAGAACAGGTCCTTTTTACACACGAACATTGAAAGTAATTCGATACACATATATACACATACATATGTATCTGATTTAAACCGGTTCTAATCGGATCTTACTATTCTCGGATGTGTATTTTCTCCCACGGACCATTGTTTTAGTGTTGTTATTATTATTATTTTATTGTTTCGAACGATTGTTTAAAACGATTATTATTTTCATCGTCCGCGTTGGCCCACCGTGATCCGGCCGAATGACACAATCGGACGGGTATCTCCGATATGGGGGGGAAGGACATCACCCTGGGTGTGCCCCGGGCATGGCACGTTTCGATCACGAATTCGTGCGCTCGCACATTAACGGGTCGGCCGAAATTCGGCTTTCTACTCGTGAGGGAGCTGGATCTGGATTGTCAGTTTTCCGGACACGCGCGCAGGATTCCGTTTCACCGCACGGCGGACCGCATCGAGATCGCCGCCGCTGCGGCCGCGCCGTTTCAGGCTGAACAATCCGTCGCAGCGCTCGCGTAATTTATAGCGCACTCCGGTATTTGCCGTTCTCACGGAGCTTCATCCTCGTCTTTTACCGCGACAGCGCTAACGATTGTGTACGGACTTGTGTTATACTTGTACTGCGTGCGTTGTTTATACGTGTGCCTGTTTTTACAGGGGAGAATCGTACACGCGTCGTCGAACATGCTCGACAATCTGGTCGAGACAACGTTGCGGAATACGTTTGTCAATATAATATCGCTGTCTCTCTGTCTTACCGTAATTGATGTTTCCGAAGATTTGATAATATAATAATATTTGTAAGTGCAATTGCACCGGACGCACGTCGTTTCCCGCAAGTGTACTGCTCACTGACAGATGGGAGGGGGGCGATCGCGTCGTGCGTAATTTATATTCGCAGTGCCGCGGCGACGTACCGAAGATAGTGAAAGCGGCTTACTTTCCCGGGGCTCGGTCGACTCGAGCGCCTCTAGCGGCCGTACGTTCCAGATACATATTATTCATGTTTATTTATTTTTTTTTTATTTCTTCCGAACACGTATTATCGCCTCCGGTATGTCCGATTCTGAACGTTCCGAATTCCGCGGCGACCTTCACCCCGACATCGTCCGCCGCAGAGAGATCCGGTCGCCGAAATATTCTCCGTCACTAAACCAACGCGAAAACGTGTTAACTCAACGTTTTTTTTTTTTTTTTTAATATATCATTAACGTTCGTTATTCCCCGGTCGGTTTCAGATCATACCGGGTGCATTATGAAAAGATACCACAGGCACCAAGTGTACATCGTCTTACTCGGGTCCTTGCTGTTCTTACATGTGAGTACATTGTTTATTAATCGTATATTTATAGATATATTCCACGAGTTTAGCCGCCGTTTGGAAAACGCATATTGCATTATATCGTTATTTCTTAACATACATTGTTTGACGGTTTATAATAATAATTATACGCATATTACACAGTTTACGAAGAAATATGTAATGATTCTTGGCATACATAATTGCATTGAATAATACGTATTATAATACGAAATTTACGCATCAAAACGGTTAAAAAAATAATTACAATAAATGCGTATGGTTATTAAAAAATATGAACATTAGAGTGTAAGATATTCGAGATTGCCTTTTCTTTTTACTATTGTTCCGTTTAATATTCATTGTACCCAATTGTTTACACAAAAGTGTACACAACTTAAAAAAAAAAGAAAAAATTTAATTATTTACAATGTATACTTCGCTGTCCAGAAATTTCGTTTAACCGTTAAAACATTTAAAGACGTAATAGTTTTATTTATTAAACTATTTCGTAAAACCATGATTAATCTTTACCTGTAAATAGATACACTTGTAAGTCATGAACGAAACCTCTGTCCGTATAGTAGTATCACGGAACTTCTTGTCGTACACATAAACCACATTAAACGTTCGATAAACAATATATAAATAATGTTATAGAGCACCAGTGGCGACACCAACCCTGGGTCAGAGAATAACGCGGCCGCATTACCACTCGAACACAGATCCGGTGGTTATGATGTCGGGTTACCGTTGTCTTCCGGTCCGCTACAGGGGCCGCACGAAGAATCCTGGCCCTTGCAGACCGTGCCAGACGCAGTTAAAATCAAACATTTGCAAGTGCAGTGTGAGAAAACGCACATGCGCGTGAACATCGAGTTCGACCGTCCGTTCTACGGAGTCATATTCTCCAAAGGTAAACCCTCAAACTACGTTCTCACTAACAGTGGATTGCATGATTTACATGATTCCGACATTTTGAACAACAGCACTGCAACGAGAACGCGTTCCAATGGTTGTAACATTTTCGATTTTAATCACGTGTCTTCCAATTACAGGAGTACACCTGAGTGTATAATTCGAACGTTCGAGCGCGTATAAGACGAGACGTTAGTGTTTCAACCCTTTACCGACTACTTTTTCTTTGTGATAAAATGTATGTTCATTTTACTTTTCTCACACTTGATTGGCAGGATTTGTCTTCTACTAAACGATACGTGTATTTATATGTATACATATATTGAATAGTCAAATTATCCGACTTTATTCGTTAATAGTTCTATGGGTTTATCGTCGTGGCCATCGAAAACCTTAAAACCCTCCACGAACTGTGTTTTTACGTATGCGCCCGTGATTTGGATATTCGCAACTCGATACACAGCAGCGATGACGAGTTGTTAGTCGTCGTGGAAACTTAACGGGACGAATCGATTTTCTCCGCGACCGACGACGTGCGGCAATTAGTCGCGAGCGTCGGCCGTTGCGTGGGCGTGGTGGCCGTTTACAGTACACGATATAATGACCGCCTAATGAATTGCGGTTAAAAACAATGACGGAAATTTTTTAAAAAAAATCGCCAAACGAACTAATATTGGCGTGTGGTCTTGTTGCGTACGGCGGCGAAACACGTCACGTGACCTGTATTTAGAGCCCCTATCTAGGCACTGACCCACTAAATGCCCGTGTGTGCGTTTTAATTAACATTTATGAAACTATTCACAAAACCACTCTCTCGCAAACGTGTTGTTGTTTTATTTTTCATGAGATTCTCTAATTGACCGCCACCGTCGACTGTAAATCGTGTAATTGCATCTGTATGATATTATTACACACCAATCAGCATTGTTTTCGATTAAAACGTGATGATTAAGTACTAATTGTCGGTCGCGGTGGCGGATTGACGAAATGAAATCGTTTCAAAACTTAATCCCACGCAGCTTAATAATCACATTGCGTACAGTACGCAAAAAAAAAAAAATAATTTCACGATTCTTATTATATTCTTATTCGTGTAACGTAGACGATCTGGTCAGTTTACGTTTAGTCAGTAAACGTTATCCGAACGTCCGGTGAAATTCGTCGCATTCGGTAATGTGCTTATAAGATTTTTATCGAAATCCACGAACATGCCCCGCGGTACAACTCTGTGGTTATGGTTCATACACACATAATGTATTGTATTTCATTACGTTTTCGGAGCCTCGAGCAACACACCATCGAGATGTGTGTGTTGTGTGCGCGTGTGTGTGTAGGGAGGGGGGCACGTTTACGCGTACGTGACCGAGGTTGGAGTAAAACAACGGTTGTCACATTGTCGCCCTGTGCGTAAAGTGCAACGCGTTGCGGTGGCCATCTTCTGGACCATCGAAAACGAGGCAGGTTTTGATTTCCGAACAAAGCGCTGTAGCGCGACCGTAGGACTGCTGACGCAAATATTTTTAATTCGATATTTTTCTGTACAGGCTTCTACAGCGATCCGCATTGCGTGCACGTGAAACCTGGCACCGGTCACTTATCGGCTACGTTCGAAATCCTGTTAAACAGCTGTGGCATGACTTCATCTGGCGGCGCAGGCGGCGCGGTCTCCGGCTACGGCCAGACGCCCAGCGGCAGCTACGTGGAGAACACCATAATCATTCAATACGACCCGTACGTGCAGGAGGTGTGGGATCAGGCGCGCAAACTGCGGTGCACGTGGTACGACTTCTACGAGAAGGCGGTCACATTCCAGCCGTTCCAGGTGGACATGCTGCATGCGGTTACGGCCAACTTCTTGGGTGACAACCTGCAGTGCTGGATGCAGATCCAGGTAGGAAAGGGCCCATGGGCGTCCGAGGTGTCCGGGATCGTAAAGATCGGCCAGACGATGACCATGGTCCTGGCCATCAAGGACGAGGAGAACAAGTTCGACATGTTGGTGCGCAACTGCGTGGCGCACGACGGCAAACGCACACCCATCCAGTTGGTCGACCACAACGGGTGCGTAATCCGTCCGAAGATCATGTACAAGTTCCAAAAGATCAAAAACTTCGGGCCGTCCGCATCCGTCGTGTCGTTCACGTACTTCCAGGCGTTCAAGTTTCCGGACTCGATGAATGTACATTTCCAGTGCGTGATACAGGTGTGCCGGTACCACTGCCCCGAGCCTAAGTGCCCCGGCGAGTACGGCGCGCTGCCTCCAGCCGGCGTCGCGCCCCCGGAGATTGGTGGCGGCGACTACAGCCAGAACTCGGTGCACCCCGGCGGCGAGTACGGACCACCACCACCGCCACCCGGTGCTGCGGACTACCCCGCGTATCCTGACCCCAGGCACCCATCGGGACCGGCCGGCGCTTACTCCGAGCTCAAGCCCGAGATCGTGTTGCCTAACTCGCCGTCGCCTTCTAGCAGCAGCAGCAGCAGCAGCAGCCCACAACCACCGCAGAAGGTGGCCAACGTGCACGAGGACGACGATGACCTGCATCTCCCGCCGCCCCCGTTGCCGGGCCAAGGGTCTTCGTACGCCACCGTCAAGCGACAGGGCACCGTGGGCGGCGCGGACGACGAGCACCAGCACATAAACCTCGTTTCATTGGGCGGCCGTCCGCGGTCCGTCGACATGGACGCCACTGGCCCCAAGTCTCACCGTCATCGTCGGTCTACCGGCGGCAAGGCTGACCCCGAGCTGGACGTCAACACCAGCCGCGTGATACAGGTGGTCGCGCCCGGCGATGTCAACTTCGCCCTGAACGTGCCCAACAACGGCAACGGCACCGGCAGCAGCGGCGGCGGCAACGGCGCCGACACAGTGGTCATGTCCACCCGGTCCGGACTGTCCGCCGACAACGTGTGCATCAGCGTGCCGTCGTTCGTCGCTGGTCTGGCCATGCTCCTGTCCGTGCTGGTCGTAGCCTGTCTGGTGGTCACGTTCCTGTTCCTGCGAGTCCGGTCAATGAACAACGCGAAGACGTGCGTGCCCGCCTCCCAGGGACCGTACATTCATGGCGCCGCGTTCGAGGCTGCCGAGTTCGTCAAGATGGCCAGCTCATAGATCCCCTTATCCCCGACACCCGTGTGCAGCATCACCCGTGGTATGCGTCTCCGACGGGTCGAACGCAACAACAACAACAACAGCAACAATCACAACAACCACCTCTTACTAACCTGTATACCTACTATACCCTTTCCCCCATCCAAAAGACTTCGTAGGTACTCGGACTTATTTACGCGAACGTTTCCGCTAGAGTGTCAATGTATATTTGTACATATTAGGCGATACGTTAACGATAATATGATTTCCTATTACCCCCCCCCCCCCCATCTCCACCCCTGACAACAAGACTTATGAATAATACTTCGATGAACCAAACACAAACGTAAATCGGTATACGCTGAACTCTGGACAACTTATATTAAACATTTTTTTTATCACACTAACACGTCCCCCCCCCCCAATTACCCTCCACGTGCACACATTGTTTACCAAGCGATTTTGGTATGCTTGTAATAATAATAATTGCAATATCGTTATTATTATTCTCTTCCGAACGCAAACAATAACTACCTATATTATACGATATATTGTGTGTGTATATACGTATGCACTTAACCCGAATATCTCTAAATTATTATATTTATTCAATGTTTTATGTAATATTGTAAACACATCTACTGTAGTAAGCAGTATGACGAATGACGTACGAGCAATGCTCGATTTAGATATTTATTTAATATTTTTGTATGACCCGACGACGACGGCGAGGCCGAAATGACAACCGAAATAATTACACAACACTAAATACTATCATAACATTACATTACTTTGTAACACGCAAGCCTCGGAGTTAGTACACATACATGTAATATTGTAGTTGACGTGAGTCACCAAAATCATATATATATATAACAAAATAATAATCATGTACATTGTTTTTATCCTTGTAAATATTATATATTATATTTATATATAACATTAGTTCTAAGCTATATATTTTAGCATATAAAATAATAACGATCGATAACAATCCATTATTTTTATAATTTTATTGTATTATATAATATTAATAATAATAATACATATTTAAATAATTATTGTGCTTAAGAGAATTATAAGTCTAAACCATAATATATAATATTGTGTTGTAAACACACGTTCAGCTGTGTTGACCAAATATGTCACCGACAATGAAATCAAATTGGTTGTACGCGTAAATGCATCACGACCATATATTATTATTATTATTATTATTATAATTATTATTACACTGCTTTTATATAAATAAATATCAATTTTTTTTCAAATACAATTCTTCCACAACCCGAACGTTCATACTAGGGATGGGCAAAATTGTTTGAACATCGATATTCGATGTATCGATACATCGATTTTTAAAATTCGAAGTGTTCGATGTATCGGTGAAAAACCATCGATGTTTAAGAACATCGAAGTTTAAAACCATCGAAAAAAATGTTTTTTCCTCTAGAGCTGCCATTTGTTGCACACCTTATTATCTGTACAGTGTACTATTTTCTTGATTAAATAATAAATTTAAGAGTTAAAATACAATTGTTTAACTTACATTTTTTAAAAACATATTAAATACTTTTAATCAGGTCTCGTAAGTTCATACATTTGCATGTTTTCTTTGCTACATCGGAAAATATGCTAATTGATATAAAAATCCGTTTCATAACAATTGTAATAAAAATCTAAAGTTTAATAGAGCATGTTTTTGCATGTTTTGTGTGTATTGGCATATTTGGCATATATTTGATTTTTTTTTGAGTTATTATGTATTATATTATATATTTTGAGTTAGCGCATATTATTTTATGTAAATTCAGCGAAATCGTTTTTTGTGATCAATAAATGTTTAAATTCATTCTTATTTACTTTTCCGAACTTGTTTATAAAATCTTAGTATTTTATTAATATTTTTATTTTTAATGATAATAAATTTTATAAGTTAATAGCAGTACCACGAAAACAATGTTATTGCGCACCACTACCACTCTCCTCTTAGTAACGTGTCTATTACAATCGACCTATTTTCGTCGCAACGTGTACTCATTAATTATAATTTTAATAAAATATAACTGAAGAAAAAATATAACTTTTAAAAATGTAAATGAATAATTCTTATTATTTTAAAAAATCCTTAAACGTTTTTTTTTTCGTGCATAGTTAAAGATTTTTAATGCATATTTGATCAAATATTAGTGCATTATTGCATGCTTATTCATTCGTTTTTTAGTGCATGAACTTACGAGCCCTGATTATAACTGTAAAGTCTATACAGTATAACGATTTTTGTATACTGCATACTAAAATATTACAAAAAAAAAAAAAAATTCGAACATAAACATCGATATTTAAGTTTAAACATTTCGAACATAAAGATCGATGTTTAATTGAAAACAAATCATTGATGTTGAAAAATCAATAGATCGACCCAAAACATCGATGTTTTTTGCCTATCCCTAGTTCATACTAATAGTAAAAAATAAAGATTTAAGTCAACGATGGCCGAAAATGAGGTGTGTAAACAGGCGCGTACTGGCCCACGTTGGGTATCCCGGTGGACCGTCCACCGGGATACCGGGAAAATCACGGTAGGCCCTCTCAAAAATAATAAGACCTGGGCTCCTTACCAAATAGGTACCTGCAGTTTCAGTTAAATTCAGTAATTTTATTATTTTTAACAATTACAATACAATACAGATGGACAGTCAACTTCTTAATTTAATACCCAATGGGAAATTAGTAAAACATGCAATTTTTTGAATAATTTAATTGATTTGCTTTTGGTAAATATGCCTGTTACTATTATTTCGATTATTAAAATCATTCGATTATTTTGATAATAGAAAAATAATATAATTTAATGATTCGATTATTTCAAATAATCGAATCATTCAATTATTCTATTTAATTATTCCTATCACTAGTTATAACATCACCAGCAGGTTGCTGAAGTTTGGCTGAAAAATTTACCTGTATCAGCTCAGGATTACAGTAAATTTAAATATATTGCAATTTCTTTAGGCATATTTCCAATTTTATTTTTTTCAATAACCTGCTTCATGCATTAACCGTTTTTATAACTAAAAAAAAATTTATCTGACGTTACATTTATGAGTCATAAATCCATGCATTTCTTAAAATATCATATAACCCACCTTTAATAGTAAATTATCGTGAACAATTTGTTTTTGAGTAAAGAAGTTTAATGTGTAATATATATTTCACTAATGAATATTACATATACCGTAATAAATAAACGGAGAATAAATAGCCAATAAATAAAAACCATTTTTATCTCTCCTACCATTTTATTAAATATTGAACAGGAGCTTCGTCAATGAATTTTTTATATCGGTTGAAGTCAAAACTTTGGATTTTTTACTTTTAATCGACTCAATTTTCTTTTTAAAAAAACTTGTAATTTTAAATAAGCACCAACGTTAATATTATGTTTCATATTTTTCATGCTTTAAGCATTGAATAAATAGACTATGGAGTTGACAATTTAATTTTTGTAGATAATTTGTTAAAATTTGTAAGAAAAATATTTTTCCGACAACGATTTGGTTTTATTAATTTTTCTCAATTTTAAAAGTTTTTCATAAGCCATTATATATCTTTCTTTTGATTTTTCAGACAAAGATTTAGTGAAACAGCATTTGCCATTTTAACCATGTATGGTGAAGTAATGGTAATGGTTCACTACAACTACTGTACTGATTGTCATCTTTCATATTTATGCTTATTTGCGCGTTTCGCAGTCAAGCCATCACTGGTTTGATTGTGTGACGTACTCGCGTCATTTGCAATAAAAAAGAACACTTAACGAGGATAATTAATGAAATTATAACAAATGCCGAAATAAACGGGCAAAAAGCACCACAGTAATGTTAATAAAAAAAGTAATAATAAATATGATAAATCTAAAAATAACAATAAAATCACATATGCTCCAAACGCGTTGTAATAATATAACAAGACAAGTCGTATAAAAATAAATATAATATTTTTAACAAATATAACGGGAGATACCTTGGACGGTCTGGCGTTCGAGTGGTTATGCCCACGCGACCGTGTTCACACGTGCGACGAACGCCACAACCGACAGAAGAATCGGTTAATCAGCGGCATCAGTCTCGATTTACAATTACTGGCTTCTCCGCGGACGACGATAACCGCAAGAAAATTTCGCGGACACGGATCAGTTACGATTCGAACAGTCGTCAGACACACGAAGTTGTCCCCGGAGATGGCGAATCCACCGTGCTATGTCGCAACCACTAAAACACACGGCCGGTGGCATAGGAAAAACGACGAGCCGAACGTTCGCAGAAAAAGTGTCGGCGAAAAAAGTCCCGGCAGTAATGGCGTCCGCGGACCGGTGATAATTGTACCGCGAAACGCGCCGATTAAAAATTCTTGAACATCACACGCCGACTCCGTTATCGGGTGCTCCGGTTAACACGAAATGGGATAATTTGAACTGTGACGTGACACTTGACACTCATTTTATAATTCGAATTATTATATAAATCGTGCAAAACAAATTTATCCGTAACGTCCAACGTACTTGTGTGGGAACAATAAAAACGACATATGTTTAAATGTTTATGCGTCGTGCAAGGAGGTTGTAATATGTGTATAAGATTTAACTGAAAGCTTATGTTTTGTACGGACCGTGGTATACATTTAAGTTTCTGGTTGTGCTGGGAATACGCAGCCAGTGCTCTTGGAAATTCCATTTTACTACTCGGTGTTATAGAGATTTCCACTTTCCCTCTCCCTGGACTTTTTAGGCTTTCCTTAACCATCAGTCACTATGGGATTTCCATCTTACCGCTCGCTGGACGGATAAATGTGACATTCTAATGCTTCGACCGTTTTAATTTCGATTATAGTTTACCTTTGTGTTTATTTCTACGTTTGTATAGCACTTACGAGTATAACAAGAAATTTAAATAACTGATGAAATTATCTTTTAGGATGTAAATAATTCAACAGCGGAGGATCCTATAAGTATGGGAGAAGGTTTTAGAATTTTTCAAGAATTTCGTGAAAGATTGAATGCTCTGCAAACGTTTTCAACGCCTATAATAATACACAAAAACAGTAAGATATATATTGAAATAGTAGTTTTGAAATATTTTTCTGATCTCGTTAAACATTTCCATTCTCTCTTAAAATAACAATTATGTACCGTCACCATAATAACACCATAACACCATAATAACCTTCCCGAAAACAAATAAATTGATCTTGTGTCATCGTTATTGATATACCTAAGTTATTTTGAGTATTATAATTTTT